ATTGCGCCACGTGATCTTGTGATCGGTCCCGCTGCCCAGGTGCCGCCCATGCTCATTCTATCTGAAAAAACAATCTTTCTCGCTTTCTCTAATATTGCATACACTACCCCTACTTTCCCATCTAATCAATCTAATTTGCTTCGAGTAAATTCTGCTGTGTGACTAGTGAGCCTAAGTAGAGTCTCTAAGTAGGGTAGACTGTGTGGCTAGTAGGTCTAAGCAAGGTCTAAATAGAGTAGAATGTGGACACTACTAGTGCAACTGATCTATATTATGCTCCAAAGCTTCACTCATAGATCTCATTTAGTGCACCAAGTTACACACAATAGACAGTGAATGCAGCTACAGACCTCCACAATTGCAGTAGTTAGACACTGGTTAGACACTAATTAGCACTAATTTGCACTAAACTTCCAGGGACTTCACTAATTAGTGAAGATCCTCTAATATGTCTAAGTTGCACTAATTAGTTCAACTTAGACCTAATTAGCAAGTTGTGTTTTTCCTGATGCACTACTATAGACTGAACACACGACAAGCACGATGGCACAGCTACCTCAATGAGTTTCATTTCACACTGAAGCACCACCCTGGCAAGACGATAGCACAAGCGGACGCTCTGTCCAGGAGAACAGACCATGAACAGGGGGAGGATGATAACAAGGATATCATCATGCTACCAGAGCAAATTTTCACCATCAACACAATCAACGTCGAACTACAGCAACAAATCCGCAATAAAAAGGCCAGAGATGCAGACCTAGTACACTTCCTCACAACCAAGGATTCGAAAACTCGACGACCAACGTGGGGAAACCCTGAAGATTGGACAGAGGAAGACGGACTCTTACTCTTCAAAGACAGAGTATATGTCCCTCCAGATGAAAAACTCTATCGAGACATAGTCAAACTATACCACGAACCAGCAGTGATGGGCCATCCAGGCATTCAAAAGACGTTCGACCTAGTCCGAAGGGAATATATATGGAACGGAATGCGAAACTTCATCACACAATACATCTGAGGATGCTCCAAATGCCAGACACTCAAGGTTAACACACACCCAATGAAACCTGGCCTAATCCCTATCGCACATAGTGGCAATACACGACCCTTCGGAGTAATCACCACGGACTACATCACCAATCTCCCACCCTCAAACGGCTTTGATGCAGTACAAGCGATCGTCGACCATGACGTCACCAAAATGGCAATCTTTGCACCGTGCACGAAAACTATTACAGCAATGGGAGCATCCAAACTCCTGTGGGAACAAGTCTTCAGCCGTTTCGGACTCCCCGACAAAATCATATCAGACCGAGGTCCACAGTTCGCAGCAGAAGCATTCAGAGAATTACACAAAGCCATGGGAATCGAGACAACGATGAGCATGGCTTATCACCCACAAACAGATGGACAGACAGAACGAGTCAGTCAAGAACTTGACCTGGCACTACGAATCTACGCGGCAAATGACCCAGATCACTGGGCTGACCGCCTCAAGGAATTTGAGTTCACACACAATCAACGCACTCATTCAGTAACTGGAAAATCGCCATTTGAACTACTCTATGGATACCAGCCAAACATAGCAGGAACGGTCCGCAGCAACCTCAAACATCCGAGCATGCAAGAACGGCTAAAACAGCTCAAGGCCGATCAGGAGAATACAATCGCCGCGCACAATCAGGCCGCCGCAGCAATGGCACGACGATCACCAGCACGCCCAATCACGCTCAAGAAGGGCGACAAAGTGCTGTTAGAAGCAACAAATCTCCGGCTTCCATACCCCTATCGGAAATTAGTGCCAAAACAACTCGGCCCGTTCTCTATCTCCGAAGTCATGGGGCCAGTCACATTCAAACTTGTGCTTCCACGCAGTTGGAAGATACACCCCGTGTTCCACGCCACACTGCTCACACCATATCGTACGACAAAGGAACATGGCCCAGACTTGCCTAGACCACCACCTGACCTCGTAGAAGGCCAAGAAGAACACAAGGTTGAAGCAATCCTCAAGCACCAACGGCGGGGAAGCAGATCAAAGCCGAAGCTCTATTATCTCGTCGCATGGAAGGGTTGGGAACCAGCAGAAAACTCATGGGAACCAGAGCACCACCTGACCAACACGCCAGACATCCTCCACGCATATAAGAAGAAGCATCGACTATGAACCAACCCTCATCCCCCACTCGCCACATCTGATTCGCTCTCACAACTCGCACCACCGCAACCATGCCCCGTACTCGTAACCCCACTCCCAACCCGCGCTCCACCCGCTCACGGGCAACCTCGACCACCCACTCGTCCATCTCAACCACCGGACGTACCGTCCCCCGGTTCATTACCGACAGAGCCCTCATCTCGTACCAACACCTCCCGGTCACGTTTCTCCATAACAACGCCCCTGCCCCGTTCGGCCTTTGCATTGGATGGGTGATCGCGCACCCAGACCTCCACGACCAAGTACGAATCCGTACCGAGCACATCCCAGGAGCCACCTACTGCATCGAGACCTACTGGACCTTCGCCGACGCCTACCAAACGCATCAAGAGGCCAACACGTTCGTACACCGGGCGGCCAGACCAGCACAAGTCAAGGAGAACGCGCAACGAGCTGCATGCACCACCATGCACCTCCTCATCCGAGGAGCTGAGCTCGCGGTTCGCCAACTCGCCACTTACCAGGTGGGACGCGCCCTCGCCAATCTTCTCCCCCGTCGCAAGCAACATACCGACTACACACGGTATGGGCAGGCGTCGCCCACCCCTGCCAAAGCCGAACGCAACGAGCCGCATGGGAAGAAGAGGAATACCGGACATGCACCGTCGCGGGAGGATGGATGGGTATGGAGAGCTCGGCTGTGGAATGGGGGTCACCAGTGGAAGAAGAAGACAACGACGAGGAACCTACCACCCCCACACCAGGTCTGACCCTATCCGACATGATCGCCGCCCTCGGGCCTCGCGGATCTCGCACCCCGTCTCCTCGTCCTCCTACCCCGACACCACCCACGCCGTCCCCGAACGCATGGACAGTCCACCACTATGCGGACGACGAGATGCACTACGAACTGGTCATCCCAGTCCAGGCCCCACCCCCGTACGACGACAATGACGACGACATGGGCAACAATGCGGATTCGGAAAGGGAAGAAGCCTCCTCCAGCGACCACGAGGACGAGGACGACGCCCCACGCATAGAACTCCTGCGGGCCTACAACCCCGTCGCCCAGCTGTTTCGCCTCAAGGGAGCCACAGACCATTGCGCCCTCCGAGGCTACCTCTCCGCGAATCATTTCGTTGGGGTGTACGCGCTCAACTGGCCGGCGCGATACTCGCCTGAGAACATCGAGTTGAGGATCGCTGCCGCCCTCCCCTACATCGCCCCGGGCATTCGTCTCAGCCTCGAACTCCATGTCCTCAACGTTGTGGCACAGTGGCACAACACCCACTGCGAAGAGGTAGTCGACGACCGTGTAATCGATGCAGGGCGATGGCGGCGATTCCTCACATACTACAGCCAGTACCGACGGGCGGGGATCCCTCTACATAGCGAACCCGAGATGTCGCTCGAAGAGACAGTCCACGAGGTGATTGTCAACCTGATCGAACGACTTCGTCAGATCGGGTACCGCCCGCGTGAAGACCCCGACCTGGACGCCGACAACATCTTCGGAAACTGAGGGTTGGGACAACCCTCGCGGGAGGGGGAGCTGATGTTATGGACACCATGTGTACGCCTACCCTTTTCCTCTCATCATCGTCATCTCTGTCATGGACTATGCCTCGCACCCTCAGGGGCTACTGTAATACTACCCCTATCTCTGCCTCATGCTGCTGTGCAGCCTCGCCTCGGACATACACGAACCTCATGGCAGCCTTTGTACTTATAAGAGGGACGACGCAGCATAGCGCTCCCCATCTTTCAACCTCCTGTATAGCTACGTCCCCTCAGGCCTAGTGCCAATTGACTCTCTTGCTTGCCTTGCTACCTCGCTCGCTCGCCGGTCCACTTGACAGTGCACCGTGCTCACTTGCATCGGCATCAAGAGACTTCTCACGGACATAACCACTTGGTGTCTAGGCCTCGTTCCCGACGGAACTCGGACTTCGACGTAACAGAGCGGGTCGGAGGACTCGCTTCACTGGCTTCTTGGTGGTGGTCTTGCCGCTACCACTGCCGGACAGAGCGTTGTCTTCATCACCGGAATTCGTCCTGGCAGTCCTCGTCACATCACGACTCTGGCTCCTCGCCCTCTTCTTCGGCGTAGCGGTGGTCCTCTTTGACGGCTCCGGTGCCGCTGATGTCGCCCGCCTCGTCTTGGACAGCGGTGGCATCGTGGGGGTCGCAAAAGACACTGCCTTCTTGGTGATCGAACGTGTCTTTCGTACATCTGAGTGATAGTGAGTAAATACGTTTGGCTGTGATTACCGATGGCACACATACCTTGAAGAGGGGTTTCCTCCTCGCTCTCGTCGTCTTCTTCTTCTTCGTTACTGACATCGTCATCGGTAGTCACCTCTACCGTCGTCGCCCGACCCTTGCCTTTCTTGTCTTTGGTCGGCTGTTAGCGTAATTCGCAACGTCATGCCGGCACAGTACGGTACTTACGCAGGCTTTGCCGGTTCAGCAGGCTCTAAGAATACAATTAGATCTATTCTGAATGATCTTTTCCAGGACTTACTTTTGATGGCCCGTGACATCCTCAGGTTAAACCTCTTGTGTGCCCCCTTCACAGATTTTGCAGTCTTGGAACTCACGTCCGTTGTCGTAGCACCGGAAGCCGTCGGAGAAGTGGTACTCTTCGTAGTACCGGTAGTCTTTGAACTACCGGTAGTCTTTGAACTACCGGTGTTCTCGGTAGCATCGCCAATCTTCGGAACCCCGGCACTCTTTGTACCCTCGGTGCCCTTCGCAGCTCCGGACTTCGTGGTGCTCGACTTGTTAGCTCCTGGGATAAATCATTAGTGGTACTACCGATACTGAACAGACATAAAGTGCACCATCCCCCGTCGACTGTGAGTCTGTCACTGTGGCTTCTACTCAAACCTGAGATTAGAAAATATGGATGGGAGGAAAGAAAGCCGGATGCTTACCAATGTCACACCAACTAAGGTCGACGTCCTGCTCCAGCAAGAGTCCAATCTGGCCGTGGTCATTACTGACTATGTGCAAGTCGAAATTGTACCTAGCCTTCTGAGTAGCCGCGGTGTTAGCAATGGGTACGATTTCGAATGGAGACTCGGTGTATCCAGCGACGTGCCGGGATTTTTCGTACTCGTAGAAGGCGCCGAGGGTGTAGCGTGGCCAGGTGTTTAACTTGAACTGCACCTGGAAGTTGTAGGCCTTGTCGAGCGCAGCGAAGAACATATTGTACCAGTTCTTCATATTCTCGTGCCCGAGCTTGGTCTGACACGGACGGCGAGAGAGCGTGTAGTGGATTTCGGTGACGGCATGGCGCACAGTCAGCATGTCGCTCTCGGAGGGGTGGGTGGACATGTCGGGAGATGTTCGGTAGCAAGGCAAAGAGTGGGATGCGGTGATAAGAAGGTAGAGGTGCATGTGCAGATGGTCAACTTGGTGGTTGGAAGTGGGAGAGTTTGAACACAGCAGGCGCCACGTCTTTCAACATGCCATCGTTGACATAAAACTGCTCCGATCTGTATCGGGATCACACTCGGACGTCGGTCACTGCCGACAGTCAAACCAAACATAATTCATCCCTCCTCCTCACCCCTCTCGCACGATTTCAACCTCCCCCTTTATCTCAATCCACGCCACTGCAAGAAAAACAATGAAGTACAACCTTCGAGTCCTAGGTAATGTGCATTTGTATAGTCCCACAACCAAAATCTAATTCCCTGTCCTGTCTAGTTCCATCACCGGTCAGCGGTAGGTGCCGGCAATGCCACGTCTGCACACACGGCTGACGTCGGTTGCAGATGCTGAAATCAACACCCAGTACGAGGACATCCTCAACGTGTCCTTCGCAAACTGGGAGACAAAGAAAGCGCCAAAGAAGTTGACCCAACAGTTAATCCCCTCAGAGGTGACGACTGTCCGCCAGCTTCTCAGCCGGCAGTTTTGCTCTGGGGTGGCCCCACGGCCGTGGGCTGCCGGGAGCCCGCTCTCGTATTCAAGCACCCCACCGGTCGCCGCGGAAGACCTGCCGCCTTGGGTCTTCTGCGTGGACCACTACTCTGCCGACACTGCCGTCCACATACCGAAGGATGATGCCGTTCTGGCATTACCGAGCACCTTCCGTTCGGTAATCCATCCCGGCGATCGCGGCACCCCACTACCATTCTGGCTCTTGGACTTGTGGCGACGTCTGCGCAACATCCATACGGTTCGGTCCAATGTCGAGCGTGGACTGGAGTGGCTCAGCGAAGTTGGACGACAAGAAGAAGTTGACAGAGCGGTCATCAAAGTACAGACTGCCCGAATGCTCAACCTGCTGGCGTTGCTGCACCCATGGTGCGACCTCTTCTCGCATCTGACCACGGACGACCGTGACCTCAACGATGAGTTGATCGACGCAGTCGTCGCTATCATGATGTGTCATACCGACCGCCTCACCCGCCCCCTCCACGTCTATTCCCCTATCGTGACGCAACTGTCACTGGTAGACTTGGTCAATCTCTTCGGCAAACTCGCCGCTCGAGGTGACTTCGCTACTGACAGCATCATCTGCCTCCCGTGGTATATTGGCGGCGAGTGGGTGTTCGTACTCATCAACATGGCAAGTGATGACATCAGAATCGGTTATTGCATCCCCCAACACGACCACGATGGCTTACTTGAGATCGCCATGCGCACTGCGATCTGGATCGCTCACACAGTGGAAGTGTCGGTGCGCCAGACTCGCACCGACTGGATAGTGTGCAAATATCAGTGTGGGGATGAAGATCAAGAAGCCTCCGTCTTGTCTGGGCTTGCTATCGCTGTAGGATTTCTGAAGAACATTTTGGAAGGGGTGACGGTTTTCTCAAGCGAAACAGCACAAAGACATCGCATAGAAGTCCTCTTTGCCATCTTGGACCACCACCCTCATGTGAGTCTAGATGAAAGTCACTCCTACATCTCTAAACATGATATCATTTTCAGAATCCGGTCATCTTGGAAGATGAGAAGCTGAGTCTGTGGGAGTCGCAGGACACAGTACGGAGTGGGTCGTTACCGGCCACTTCCGACGGGGAAGATCTCCGCTCGGCATCACCGGTATCGCGCTCGGTAGGCTCCGCCGGCCCGGGATCCCCCTCCCCACCGCCAATCTTCTCCCATACACTGGTGACCGATATGGCGCCTCCTCCGTCACTCCCAGTCTTTACGCGTACCCTAGTACCGGCCACTTCCAACCAGACTGATCGCCACTCGGTATCACCGGTACTCCCCCCAATCCGCCCTGCCATCTTGACTGGCCCCTCTCCACTGGCAGTCTTCTCCCAGACACTGATGCCTCCCTTGACAGTCCTTTCCACATCGCCGCCAGTGTTCATGCGGACACTCGAACCACCGTCGTCTTCCTCGACCGCTACATCACCTTGGGATTTCGATTTCCAGAGTGGCAAGCGGCTTTCTGACCTGTATGGCGGGTTAGTAGACCCCTTTACGCCCCCAAAGGAGGTCACATACATGATACCTGGGTTCTTCAGTGGATTGGGCCAACTGGACACTTCACTCAGGAGTGATGACCGCCCAGTACCGCCGGAATCCGCCTTGGTCGCTGCGCCAGTCTTCTCCCGGACACTGGCACGACCCTTGACAACCCTTTCCACATCGCCGCCGGTGTTCACGCGGACACTCGAACCAGTGTCGTCTTCCTCGACCACCCCATCAAAGCCATTTACCCCCCCCCCCCCCGGAGGGTAGAGCCTGATGGGTGGTAGTGATCACCACGGGTCACCCCCGGGTAATTTTGAGTTGACCCGGACCCGGACCCGCGAAACCCGGACCCGTGAGCTCACGGGTCCGGGTACGCTCGGGTACGGCGCTTGATACCACAGGTCAGTCACGTGTGACAACCCAGTGTCGAGCTGGAGACGGCGCTTGACATGCGCATGCATGGCTGCTTGGTCGCCTCGCAACATCCCCCATCCTCCCTCTCCCCGCCTCCCTTCCTCTGCTCCTCTACTTTCTGTCAACCCCCAACTCTCTGTTAAGGCTTCCAGCGCGTCATACCGCCTCATTCAAACTATCTTGGCGCATTTGAGGAGCTGTAGTGGAGGTGGTGTGGCAATCACCGGCTCAGTGGGAGTGCGATAGACAGGTGCGCTCTCATACCATTGTTCAATTTGTGATGCGGAGGAATGGACGTCCTCGACTGCCTCTGGGCCCACCACGAGTCCACCTCTGGCTGGCCTGTCGAGAGCCGCGAGAACGTGTTCACCCTCTGGCTCTACTGGTTTCCCCTCACCCGGTACGTCCTCATTCTCTTTGTGCTCTCCCCCGCGTTCATCCCCCCCGCACAGAAAAACTCGCCGTGCACCTGGCACCCTCCACGCCAAGCTCGCGAAGCAAGCCCGGCCGTACGCATGTACGGCTTCCGCTACCCCAACCACGTACGAGCGGCACTCGGTCGAGACCCTGTGTGTCCCTACATGGCGACTGGGACCGGCGCGCAGCGCTCTGGGACTGCGTGCAAGGGCGAGAGGCGTACGGGCGCACGTGGAGCGACTGGCTGACGAGCCTGAACGTGCGGCAGGAGAACAACTGGGGGCGTCGGAGGACGTGCTTTGACTCCTGGACCCTCGGTGTGCCCCTCGGTGCCGGCCCCAAGGGCAAGGTCACCCCCAGCTGTCCGTCCAGGCTCTGGCCAGGTGAGTTTCCTTGCCTTCTGTGTCCTCTTTCAGCACTCATACGCAACCCTCCCTTCCGCTCCCTTCGTCGTCTCGCCTCCTCTCCTCTCTCGTCTCCGCCCCTCTTTCGTTATCCCCCCGGCACGCATGCACGCACGCACGCATGACGCACAGACCCCCGTCCGATACGCGCAAGCCTGGGGCGCGTATGCGCTCTACGGCCGCGTCTGCCCCTGGGACGGCCTCGTCATTGCCGTCCCCGTCCAGATCCCGCCAGTGCGGCAGCGGCGCGAGCGGCACGTCGACTGGGACTGGCGCGCCGCGATCAGCTCACGAGCCTCAGCACCCAGCAGGAGAACTACTGGTAGCGGTGGACCGTGGTGGGCCTGCTTCGACCCCTGGGCCCACGGCGTCCCCCTCGGTGGCCCCAAGTTCACACCCAGCTCTCTCTCCGGGCTTTGGGCGGGCCACCACCTTGTGAGTGTTCTCTCCCCTCCCGTGGCCTCTTATCATGCTCACGCTCTGACGGCATGTAGGACCCAGACGTGGACGGGCACGCGCTCGCGGTGCACTCGTACCCGTTCGACGCGAGGGTCGAGAACACGCCGTTCTCCGCTGTGGCCCCCGCGCTCTTCTTCGACCTGCATGAGCACTACTACATGTCCCCCGCCCTGCCCCTCCCGCTCTGGGAGCTGAGCAACGCGATGGACGAGGGCGCGCTGAACGCGTACGCCGTCCAGCACACCGCGCGCGCGCGCGGCAGGGCATGCCCGAGGAGTGGGTCTACGAGACCTACATGGAGGGGGAGAGGGACTCGCACAAGCCGGAGACATGTGAGATGTGCGTGGCGAACAGGGAGGAGGCTGGCACGAGCATGGATGCAGACGCACACCGCTGACAGACCGGGGCGCGAGTAGTGGGGCGGTGGGGGGCTGGAGAAGGTGCAGAGAAGGGCGAGGTGCAGGGGAGATGGATCCTCGAGGCCTCACACATACGCCTGGGGGGAGGGCTCATTCGTGCGCCGTCCGTCGAGCGTGGCTCTCTCGATGCGGTTTGCGAGAGGATCCGGAAACCGATGCGACACGTGTACAGGTGAGCCCCGTCGCCTTCGCCTTCTTGTGATTGTGATTGCATACACCAGAACGAGCTGCACCGGCGCGTCCTCGCTGCCACGCTCTCTCTGTGCTCCCGTTTCCGGCGCGCGCGCGTCCTCCACCACCATGACGTCCACGAGTGGGAGCGCATCTGCACCGGTGCGTCCTGGCCGCCACGCTCTCGGCCTGTATCCGTGCTTCCAGAGCGGGCGTCCACCGTGGCGTGCGCGGGGCGCGATTACATCCTGCGTGGGCTTTGTGCGCATATTGCACGCGGCCCCTGCTCCTCCATATCCTGACTTGATTTAATACTATCTATTACATGTACAACGCATCCTTTTTGGTTCACGGGTCAGTGGGGGTTCACCCTGCGGGTGCATGGGTCAGTCGAGCCTGACCCGGACCCTTACCCGTGGCACCCGACCCGCCAACCCACACGGGTGGCCCGCACCCGTGGTGATCACTAAATGGGTGGTGTCTCGTCGTCCTCCCCCCTGTCCACAGTTACGCAACCGCTGGCGCGCTCCTCCAGGCCCGACTCTCCACTGTTGGAATTCACTCAGAAGCTCACCATGCCCGTGACTGCCGAACTGTCTCCTCCGGTATTCAGCCAAAGGCTTGCCATTCCGTCGACGACATCCTCTTCGCAGCCGGTATTCACCCGCACACTCGAGTCGCTGTCGGCATCCTTGACCGTCCCAGGCCCACCACCGGCTTTCACACGAGGGCTCGCCGTCGAGTCCAAACCGATGTCGTCACAGCCAGTATTCATGCGAACGCTCGCACCTGCTGACGCTTCACCACCGGCATTCATCCGGCAACTGGCCCGCCCTCCAACACTGACCTCCGCACCACCGGTGTTCACTCGCACACTGTCCAGTGCTGTGGAACCTATGCCACCGGTGTTCGCACGTAGGCTGGCCGTCCCTTCAACCTCCTCGTCCTCACCCCCAGCTTTCACGTGCCAGCTGGCGAATCCTACCATGGGTCCCACCGATGAGAAGATGAATATCGAGGAGCCTGGGCATTCAGTTGCTCCTCCCGCCTTCAAACGCTTGTTGAAGCACGTTTCCGAGCGTGAACATAGCGCGGACTCATGATACGGAGGTTAAATGACACTGGGTTTTTTCTTGGTTTGTGGAGTACTGCAATGTTTCGAATATGCTTTCGTATTTTGTAATGGACTAGCTATGTGAACACAGAACCTGACGTCTGACGGTATGTTTCAATTGTATGATGAGCAATACCGAACACATTATCGGTATCAATGATTACTCAAAACCATGTGCGCACTTGAACCTGTGGAAGACCCGGAAAGGAGCCACACTTGAAGAAGACACAGGAGCATGGCATACACTAGTCTTACTACGGGTTAGCCTCAAAATACAGGATAATGAAAGGGGATTGAGCAGGCAGCAGTACTTTCCGTAGCCCAACGGACCAACCGAAATATGCGGCAATGTACTCCATACACCACCGTAATTCCGATGTTTTCTGGCTGACAGGGCTCGTACAGCCGTCTTGGGCGGGGGACACACTCGTACAACCTCGGGTAATAACCAGGATTTCCTGGTTGTAGAGCTGTACTTGTTCTTTACTCGTCACTTGAATACGGCTACTGATAGGTCGCGTTTTATTACCACCACCACGGAAGCCCTTAGGGAAACATCACCTGTCCATGCATTTGCAATACCGAGGCCACTGCCGAGATTGCCGTGGATAACCACAATGCCGGTGTGTGCCGCCTTTGGGGAGCTCGTACAACCGTCTCGGACGGGGTACATGCTCGTACAAGCTCCGGCAGCGTTTGCATCGCCACGGGGTAACCACCGCACATACGGCCGTAAAACAAGTCGGTATGTGCTCAGAACGTCTGTGGCTACGTACTACATGCATTACCGCAATTCCGGTACGTGCCAGCTGAGGGAGCTGGTACAACTGTCTCGGACGGGGTACATGATCGGAGCTCGTACGACCGTTACCGACAGTCTACATGACCGGAGCTCGTACGAGCTCGTATCACCGTTACCGACGGCAACATGAGGGGGTCATACCGCCGTTACCGACAGCTACAGAGGGGGAAGGGGGTCTATATTGCAACTAACTAGGCTAATATTCAAGGTGGGTGTAAGACATGAGCCATGTAGGCGACATGCAAGATGTGGGCGAGTGATATGCAGGCAACAGGAGTGAGGTGGGAGATGCGGGCAAGATAGGCGAGGTAGGCAGGCGAGCCGGGGCGATGTGGGATGAAGTGTATGCAGTGACAATGACAGCATAACAGCGATATGAACGAGCGAGAGAGTGAGCGTGGGACATGGCACACTCCAAATGTTCGTACCTGACCGGCTTAGCGGCGAGCTCCTCAGAGTGAGTCGAGCTTGATGATTGCCCTGCGGATCCCTGTAAGTGGCAGTCAATATCCTGCGGAGGACCTTCGTGAGCGCGGTGGAGAGGAAAACCCGGCACACCGTGTAGAACGCGTGGAAGCACAGGTCGTGGGCTGCAGACGCACGGGCCGCAGGCCTATGACGCGACGGATGAAGAGGCGAGAGCACTCGGTCAGAATACTTGGAATCTTAGGCACGAAATAAACTCACCAGGACACAGGGACTGCAGTGTTCTGCACCTGAACTCATCCGTGTACAGCTTGCGGTTTGCAAGCCCAACGCAGCATAACAGGCACCAAAGGTTAGTTGGTCTTGCTCTGGATTTGATGAGGAGCAGAGGGGCGCTCACCTTGAACGCAGGCGACGTGGGTGAGGCGGGCGAGGCAGGCAAGGGTGACATGGGCAAGGGGGATGGGCAACGAGGGCGAGGGTGAAATGGGCGATGCGCGGGCGAGACAAATGATGTGTGGGCAATGTTGATGCGGGTGAGATGTGGACGAGGTGGGGGCTAATGCGGGCGACGAGACGTGGGTGAACGTGAGCGCAGTGGGTAGGATGGACGAGATGCGGGCGAGGTGGTGACGCTCGGGTGAGACGGACAACGTAGTGCGACACATGGGCGGTGCGGAGGCGATGCAGAGTCAACACGGGTGGGTGATGGGTGCGACAAGAACGACAAGGCAGCTGAGATGGGCTAGATGGGCAAGCCTGCCAGCATATGCGTGCAGCGCGCAGGTCCGCTATGAGCCCCGAGAGGCTGGTGGATGCTATACGCGCTGATGATGCGCTCATCGCGCTCGCTCAGATGGAGGAGGCGTGGGAGGTGGGCAGCGAGGGGGAGGGATCTGATGGGTCCCTGCCCTCGCTTCGGACTCTGTCCGACATCGACACTGATGAGAACAATGAGGGGTACGGAGAGTGCCAATAAGCAGGAAGGTGTTATGTCTGAGGGCTTATTCCAGCTGGAATACGACCTAGGCGCCTTGTGGTTACGGTGGCGATGCTCAGAGCGCTTGCGTGCTATCGAGCGAGTGTGTGAGCGACAGAGGGTAGATTGCGCGTAGTCAGGTAGACGTGGTAGTACAAGAGGAGATTCAAGTCTGGGGAGGGAGCGCTCAGAGGTGTCGTCCTTATATACAGGGGAGAGCGGGGGGAGTCATATTATCTGCGAGTCACAACGAGTCCGTATGAGCTAGTCCGAGTCGCTATGACCTACGTTGACTAGGAGCGATCGGGGAGTCACAGCGCGGCAGAGTGAGTAACGATGAGTCCGTATGAGTCAGAGTGCAATCAGCAGGTCTTTTACTGTCATGTATATCGGAGGAGCGGGGTTATGGGTGGAAATTAAATGGGGGGTAGCGTACTAGCGTCCTTGATCGTAACAGAAGGCAGGTTGTGTACAATGTATTACCATTCAGTCTATATAGAATTCTCAGTGCGTGACCTTTGGCGTGCGGATCTGCAGATGGAGCCGTAGACCCACCATTTTTGGGACACCTCAATCTGGAGCTGCAGCGATCCGGAGCTGCATGAGCCGGATCCACACGGATCTTGATCCCCGGCTCGATTTTGCGGCTCAACGTGGCTCGACCCCCAAAGTGACCTGGACCTGCATGCAGCCTTAGGTCGGACGAGGGTAAAGGCAATCGATACGACGCGGTTGGTCCCTATGGGCACCGGGAGGCGAGTACAGATGGACGTGGGGGAGAACGAGGTGGTGGGGAAGGGCAAACACGTGAGGCGAGTGCGGGACAAGGGACGATGGCTATCTACACGATGACTAAGCACAAGTAAGGTACGACCGAGCTTGCCATACACGTGAGCAGATTCCAACACAATGTTCGCCTTCGGGGGATGGTCAATTGCATTTAATCATGTCCATCTTACTCACGGCGAGCACAGGTGATTTCCCTGGTGCATCCGTTGCGATAGCCTATCGGCAGCTACAGATTCATCTGGATGGATCTGGCGATCCGTGATGCGCGCCCGTGGAGACACGCCTCAGTGGGCGGCAAAGACGCGTGGCATGCATCGTGTCCCTCCCCTTCACCGTCCTTGCTCTCCTCCACCACCCTCGCTACCCCCAGCCTCCCCGCTCTGCCCAAGCAGACGATAGCGACCATACGGTCGACTGTCGCCTGCTATTGGACCCCGGTGTCACCAGGTGACACCGACCTTCCCTTCTCCGACCTCCCTCGACCTCGATCCCACCCTATACCCACCTTCCCGACCGCACTCAAAACAAACACACCACACGAGGACGCCCATACGGACGTCCACAGCATGGAGATTGGAATAGGGGGCCGCGGCAATGCACCGCGGCGCTCGTTGGTGATGTTGGACGACAAGCCGCGACTGCGGTATACGTCCCGGCCCGGACGAGTTGGGTCCGGTGCGTGCCATATGATCTCTCTGTTCGTATCATTTCGAAATGTCCTTCGTACCTGTACCTTACCTTTCCGTACTCGCCCGAGTCACATATACGCTCTCGCACGTTACGTACACCTCAGTCTTCTTTCCCCCCGAGACTGAGGTGAGCCCTGCATCCGTATACTCTGTATTCTGGACTACGCACTTACTCGTTACCTAGCTCGTTCGCCCTGCGCTCTCGCTAGGTACTTACCTTTAATATCATTAGTCTTCTTTCCCCCCGAGACTGAGCTCGTTCGCCCTGCGCTCTCGCTAGCTCGCCAGCGCTCGTACCTGTTGACAGGTTATGAGCCCTGCCTCGACCATGGCTTCCTCGTATCCCAAAACTTCTTCCTCAAGTGGATGGGCGTCCTTCGGAGTCCCGCGCCTTGCTTCGGACGGATCAAACTGGATCATGTACAAGAACCAGTTTATCTCCGCTGTCCACGCAAAAGGCTTGCGGCGCTACCTTGAAGGTACGGACCGCCGTCCCAACCCTCCTGTGCTTCCCACGTCCATGCGCACGGTTCCGGCCGCGTCTGGTGCGATCAGCCGCTCCGCGTCAGCCTCAGCGGCGACACGGCCGCGATCAGGGTCACAGTCGACAGCCGGCGGTTCCACAACCACCGTAACCGCATCGCCCACTCAAGGAAGCACTCTCACACCGGAGGAGGAACAAGAGAAGTACTACGAGGCGCTGGAAGAGTACGAGATGAAGGTCGACAAGTGGACGGCTGCCCACAACCAAATCAAAACCCTTCTCTTTCAGACCCTGCCAGAGGATCTCCGACTCGAGATCACCCCGCTCACGCTAGGGAAGGACCTTTGGGCCATTGTCACTACTCGCTTCGACCGACAGGGCACGTTCGTGCAGGCAAACATCCTCCGCCGCATCCAGGCACTCCATTGCGAAGAAGGCGCAGACCCCCGACCTGTTCTCAATGAGCTCGCACAACTCAGAGCTGAATACTTTACGGCCGGCGGCTACCTAACAGGCGACCAGTACGTTGTCTACATACTGTCTGTCCTCCCGAAGTCGTACGGCCAGACCATCCGTGCCATCCAAGCCTCCACCTCCATATCGAGTATAGCCGTCACCCCAGAAGCTCTCCTCACCACCCTCATCGACATCGCCCGTGACGAGCACGCCATGAGCGGGAGCTTGAGTTCGAGCACCGCCGTTGCTGCGGCCGCACGCCCCGAGGATCGGTGCCATAACTGCAACAAGACCGGCCACTTCAAGGCCGACTGTTGGAGCAAGGGAGGAGGAGCTGAGGGGAAGGGCCCGAAGAAACGAGGAC